TAGTAGGGGAGAAGGGAAAATCCCTATATCCTCCCTATATAACATAGTGTATTCCCTTGTTCCTGACTAACCACAAGCAAGTAAGTCCTGCTGCTGCGATTCTAATTTCAAGCTGGGGATCCGGTATGGCACCCCATCATTTGACAACCCTGTTGGCAGCTGAATCCCGGCTTGGAACCAATTCCATTACAGAAAGAGGAACTCGTAAATGTCCAGGAGCTACTCAACTCTCTGGCCCATGCTGCTCGCAATTACCCGGAGAAGGCAGGGAACAAGCAACTGAGGCTCCTAGCCAGTTTCTGTTGTAAAAGAAGAAGGAACTCAAGGGTCCCACTAGCCATGATCTTTCGAGGTTCAAGGTCAAGTTAAGGTTTTGAAGGCTTGGCCTAAGGTTAAGCAGACATGCACCTCAATCGGGGGGTAGCCCCCCAAAAAAGGGTCAAAGATACCCCTTGAGGCTTGGGTACAGTCTGACTAACCTGCAGTCCTTGGAGACAAAGGGAACAAAGGAGACACCGCCCGACCGACTGTAGAAGGCTGATGAAGGACGAACAGCATCATCCCCTTAAAATCCTCATATTATGGCCCAAGATCTTGATCCAATCGCCGAAACGCATACAGTACCCACGCAATTCTGATGTGAGCGGAATAAGACAGCTCATGATATCATCCCGTCGTAATAATAGTATCATAGCCCAAGACCCTGTTCCAATGGTTTAAGTGCATGCAATTTCCAGGCAGGCCCGAGGGGACCGCAGGAAGACAGCGATGATGTTGTGGTAGGGGAAGGGAAACGGTGTAATTGCCACCTGCCGGGCGTTGTCGTTTACATATGCTCAAGGGCAGCGGAGGCAGGAATACACGTTCCTGTTCGGGATATTATTGAAACTGAAAACTGAAAAAGTCATAGCCCTGATGCCGAAACTATATCCAACAATGACCCAGGATACAAGTACCATGCTTGGGATTGATACGGATATTCCACGGACAAGTGCGAGGATTTGCGCACTCACTGCGCCTAAGCACCATTAAGACCAGAAGAACAACCTCTAAGGGCCCGGTTACCTCTGTACCACACAGGGATAGGCCGTATATGATTGCATAAGGAGTAAAAATACACTTTGAAGCTTAGCATTGAGACTTTTGGCGATTTTTGTGGTTAGGGCTAGGACATGTTGCGCGCCTTGCCGTTGTGATCCTAATCAAGATTTAGGATTTGCGCGGACTGTGAGTCTTGAAGAGCTCCTACGACCAGGGGCGAAATCACTACCATCACGTTGAGGTCGGCTTAGGACCCTGAACACTGAACCATAATTATTCCAGGAATCTAGAAACAAAATATTTGTATTTAGATTGGATGTAGGCCCTACAGTACAGCAGTTGTTGCCCAGACTAGTATGTTAACATCCCTTCGACCTACGAGTAAGTGTTTCTAGGGCCCCACTAAGACACTAAGATAGGACAGTCAACCGAACCTCGTTAGTCAGATGTTCCTGGGAACATCTGCAACAAGAAGCTTTTGCATGTCTGCTTAGCTATGGGAAACCTGGAGCTGCACCAGTACTTCAACGGTGTAGGGTTTAGGGTTGAGCCTCGCTCATGCAATATGTAAGCAAGGCAAACTTCAACGAGCTGCATGCCCAGTCAGATTTTTTAACAGTCTCTTCAAAACCAAAATACTATGATCCTTCTTTTGGGGACCCCCAAAAAGATAGCTCTAATTTGAGGAAACCCTAGACACGATATATCCCATGTATCCCTATATATCCGTATATATCCCCTATTACGCGGTCAGTGGAGGACTGCCTTGGTCCTGTGCGGGTCTGGTACCTCTACCACAAAATACGACAGGGCAAACCTCACGCCCTATAGAGCTCTACCTTCGCCTCCATAATCATAGTGCAGGCATCCCCTAAACCCTAAACCCTAGGTGGACTCAGACCAGGGGCCTCAGAGAACAAACGCCAGGGTTTAGGGCTCAGGCTTTTGATGTTTGGCTGGTGACCTATAAGGAGCAAGCAATTCAGGACCCCTCCCCAACAAAAACCTCTAAGCGTCAAACCGCAAGGGGTTCGAGGTCCAAGGGACAATGTTGCAGTTTGCCAGGGCTTGAGCTGAAGCATTCAAGTCCTGAAGTATGAAACGCTCTAATGAAATAAACTGAACGGAACACTATGCTTTTGCAGACTACCACGGTTGATACTAATAACCGTACATGTTCCAGAGTAACTCATACCTTGCGTAGAGCGGTAGTCTGGTACACTACTGGAATTCGAGTATACCAAGGTCATGTAAGAGCTTGAGTATCCACAGTACCCAAATAATGGGGGTTTAGTCCCAAATACTATAATCTGAATGATATTTGGCACCGCAAACCCCCAAAATCCGTTTCGAAATGCAACGCTTGTGACTACAAACTTTAAAGAGGAGGATGGGTCAACCTTGCTTCGAGATGATGGATATCTGGTTTATGGGGAAATAGAGGGGATATATGTGGGTATATAGGGCTACACAGGGAGATATAATGTTTAAGGGTCCAAGTACCTAAGTAATGAGCTTTGTCTACCACAACCGTTCAGATTATAGTATGCGGGACCTAAGACACCTCTATTTGGGTACTTGGACCCCTAGGTGTTGACAGCTCCGTGGGGTGAGTAGTTGCAATAGAAATCGAGTTTCGGCCTTGTACACTTGAGGTCTTTGATTCTAGCAGAACCTTGGCCCTTCAGTAGGACCTCTAGTATGAAATAGGCCCATTGCAGTATACTATCACATACTGGGAATCTCTAATATCAAGGGGGCTGGGGTGTTTCACAAGATGGAAGCTACTGTATTCTTTGAGTTTAGGGAAGAATTGAAGAGAAACTGGAAACACTATTTTCTTCGGGGTCTTGGGTTTAGGAAATTAGACTCGATTGAGCACACTCCTTTTTTTTCTTTTTCGTCTCTTGCAAGGCGTAGAATCGATGTCAGGACAACTCGCACCCCCTTCCTTGGCTGATGTCGGGCTTCAGTTGCCAAACTATATGGGTGGTTGCCAAAATCATGGTCCCTTTTTGGATCCTTATTATAATGCGGCACCTAAAATTTAGGGAACCCAAAAAGGGACCATAATTTTGACAACCACCCATATGGAAATCCCCCAGAACTTCTTTCACCCCAAGCGGCTTCGAGCCGGTGAAGAAGTAAGGGAAGTCTCATGGGCGATTACGCCTATAGGCTCGTACTGGGGCCAAGGATTACATGGTTCTGGAAGTATACCTATGTACAAAATTCCCTATCAGGTGGGACGAAGCAGAACTCACGTTTTTGCACGCGGTCACCTCACTTACGAGGGAGTGGTGTGACCCTAAAATAGCATGGGACTTCGGACTCCTTACCGACTGTCTGTTAATTTGGTTTGAAGGAATTTTCCTGGAAATGCCAATCCATTGGAGAGTATGTCGGGGCTACTTTGGGGATCCATTCCTCCGTTCCCTACTAACAACGAGTTAGCATGTCAGGTGCCTAGGTTGCCAAAACCTAAAGCCCTTTCTTGGGTCCCAGTTTTAATACGTCCCTCAATTCTTAGGGTGTGGCAACAGAAGGGGCCAGATGTTGCAGAACACGGCTTATCCAATCACAGTCACCGGTTCGACGGTAAGCATTCTGGACACACTGCAAGCATAGAATGACTGCAGAACTAATGATATGAGCCATAATCAACACTCCCAGTATCCCCCGTAAAACCGACATAACCCCCTTGAAGGAGTTTAGACTGTAGCTCATATGGGTTTCTGGATGCGTGATAGTTAGTTAACCCTGAGCCCTTAACCTTGAACCCAAAACCCTTGAAACCTAAACCCGGAATTCCAAACTGAACCTCATCTGTACCTGGACCTCTACAATACGGTACATAACCAACAGCAAGAGCGAAGCAAAAAGTCTACATACTTTTTGGGTTGGGCACCCTAAACCTTACACCGCATCACTTCGAAGGGACCTCAAGGTAGAAACCTCTACAAACGGCTCAGGCTCCATTGCTCGGCGCTGCCGCCTCTGGCGGAGCGACGTAGGGCGAAGTGCGGGGCCGGCTCCTCAGCCAATCTGTATGGTTTGGGGTTTCGGGTTAGGGTGTAGGCCTGCAAAATAGAAGTATAAGGTCATTCTCAAGAACAGTGACAGGTTACTTACACGGAGTCTCTAATATCCGGAGTCCCCAAATTTGAGGTGCATAAGGTCATTCTAAAAGGGCTGTAGGAGTTATATAGGGCTTAGAGCAATCTAAGCATGATTGGAGAAGGATGTATAGAGAAATGGAGAAGAAAATGGAAACCACAACATTATTCGGGGGTAACAGGCCTAAACGACTGCCGATGCCAGAGAACCAAATGGAAAAGAACACAAGAAATTATACGAAAACTGCGCATATATCCAGGCTTATAGGGATTATCCTGAATAATTGCCGATATGCAATTTTGGGCTTAAGGTTTAGAGTCTAAAGTGTAGCATTTAAAGCCTCGATTGTTGAAGCATGGAAAAAAGAACATGGAAATTGCTATATACCTTTGGTTGGGATGTTTATTGGGACTTCCAAAACTCTCGGAACATGGGCCTAGGCTCAGAGTTGCAACATTCCCTTCTTTCTTATGGGGGGGTATAACATAGGGGCTAATAGGGATAATGGGAAATAAAATGGAAACTAGCATTTAGGGTCTTATAAGGGTATAACATAGATTAGGAGGGTACTGATGTTCAATGGACTTAGGGTGTTGCGAGCTTTGTTCCAAACATGGTAGCACTTAGCAATCCTACGCATCCACGGCAGGGCAAAAATAGTCAAAGCATCATAGAACCCTTGAAACCTCTCATCACCCCTGACCAGCTACTATCAACAAAATCCAAGAAAACTGGACAAATCCTACAAGTACCTTGAACGTACACAGAAATCCACCCTGAACCGCTCTAAACCCCAAATCCTATTTTAGCACCTGGCGGCCGCAGTTGCTCGAACGAGTAGCCAGCTGTGGAGCAGACCAAGCTTTCAGCGGAGAGGATGTGCATGCGGCAGAGCATGTAGTTCCTTGGGTTGACGGTTTGGGGATTTAAGGCTTTAGATTTAGGGGTTTAGGTTTCAGGGGGTTCTGTCCAAAGGCTTATCCCCTACACCTTTGTATGGGTACCCAAGCTTCTGCAGCATAGTCTGAAAAAATGTAAAACAACGACAAGGGGAAAGCCTCTAGATAGGGTGGAGGGATGAACCAGACCGCATCGTGGCAACTTAAGGTATTGCCAACCACCTACTGCAAATTACGAGACTGGAGCCCCCGCCCTCTTGCAAACAAATGCTTGGCATACAGAACCATTACTCGGAGTCTCTACTGGTAGGAGGAAATTGTGAGTAATTTAGAAACAGGGGAAGGGATGAGGTCAAGGCTGAGCATGTAACTTTTCCAAGGGGCAGGTCTCTATAACTTTGTGGGTGGGCTATTGAAGCAGCCTCCAAAACGCAACAACTTAAACCCCATAACAGTCGTTGCTAAGGCGGACAAATCTTTATCCTGATGTCCCGATCAAGTAAACGGCTCCTTCTTCAGAACTGCAAAGGGAACCCTTGATCGAGGAAGACCTACACCACCAAGAATTCCAGATCCAGGGAATTCTGAGAGTTGAAGAGCCTAGATGGCGCAAGATTTCCCGAATCAACAGCAGAGCCCCCTAAAATGCGGCAGCAAGGGTTTACTAGTGAATTCAGCACCATGCACCCGAGGCTCAGGGCCTCTTCGGTTACCCTGCCATCCTCGTCGTGGCAGTAGCTGAAGAGCCTTGATAGCTGAGTTGAGGCTAAGGGCTGAGGCTTTCAGCCCGAAGGTCCGAGGCTAGGGTTTAGGGTTTAGGGCTTAGGGTTGAGGGTTTAAGGTTTAGGGTTTATTGTTTTATCAAGGTTTAGAATTTATTGTTTTTTTCAAGGTTTAGGGTTTAGGGATCACAGTTTAGCGTTTATTGTTGAATTAGGGCGTAGGGTTTAGAATTGAGGAGCATGCCCAATTGGATGGCTTTAGGCTTAGGGGTGGGAGACTTAGGGCTTTGGGCTGAAGGTTTCAGCTTATTTGGGGTGTTTCTAAGGCATACGGGCAATGATCTTCACCATCACGGCTGAACTATTTTTGCTCAAGCTCGTCGGTGCTCTCCTTCTGCTCTTGTAAGGATGGTAAGCCCCTCGGCAAGCGTATGATCAGAAGACTAAACGCAAGGGAGACTTGGAGCTCGTGATTTGCGCCTGCCCCGAGCAACGCGTCACTGGTTTTTGCAGGGGAAGCGCATTTGGAAGCCCTACGCTACATCCTGGGCGCTACATAGGCCCAACTTAATGATGCATGCAATGCTCGAATGAAATCTGAATAAACCCCAACCAAAAGAAGAACAAACAGAGTGACACTCACCTTGATGATGCGCGGCCACAATTACAAACTCCCACCCAACAAGAACAAAGCCACAAAGCCCGTGACACGTTAAGAAAAAGACTCTACATGATTCTCGGACCCCTGATCTGAGGTGGGGCTTATGCCTTATTCAACAGGCATTGGGCTCCTCAAGGAGCCCTACATCCCTAAACCCTATACCTGGAATCCGAAACCCTAAACCTGAGCCCTAAACCCTAAACCCCGAACCCGAATACCTAAACCTTAAACTCCAAACCCTAAACCCCGAACCCTAGACCCTAAACCCTAAGACGTGGCATCTCAACCCAGGGGCCACGACTCCCTTCGCTTGTCCTCAGGGGCATCAGGGCGAAATCCTGGAGGCATGTTGGCCTTCAGCCAGTCCACCAGCTTCCTTAGGTCAAGCGATTAGTGGGTTTAGGGCTTTAGGGTTTAGGATCTAGGGTTTTGGAATTTACTGTGTTTAGGGGGTTCAGGGTTTACGTAGGGGTTTTAGGGTTCAGGGTCATCCAGTCCACCGGCTGCCTTAAGTCAAGTGTTTAATGTAGGGGCCTACATGGTCTGAATTGGTTTGTTTGGGGTGGAGTGGGGAGGTCTGTTATACTATCATCTATCGATTTAACACACGAGGATTCTAGAGGAATAATGCCGCTAGTTAGTCAAGCTGCTTTACAAGAAGGCTTATAGGCTCAAAGGAGTGTTGCAGGGCTTCACGTAGAAAACGCATCCCAACTCTCAATTGCAAAGCGGTTTAGGGTTTAGAGTTTACACCAGCAACAACACCCAAGACCTCAAAAGATGTCCCGGGTCGCTAAAGTTCCTGGGTCCCTTTGATGGACGAAATCTTGAACCACTTTGGGCTCTAAACCTGCTGACAGTCTTAGGATACGGCAAACTCAGGGTGTTGGAGGATGATTTCCTCATCAACAAGATTCACTAAGGACTAGAGATCTTCGGGGGGGAATGTAGGGAGTACCCCTCAAAACTCTCAAATACTGAGGATTTGTCTCAATCTTCGTGGAGTGGGGCCAACATAAAGGGTACTCTTCAAAACCCTCACATTCTAACTCGACTGATTGAGGGACGGGGGCTTCACCTAGCCTCGCCGACTTGATCGGCAGCAGGTAACACCTGTGGAAAGTTTCAGTACGGATTTACAATTGAGGCTTGAAGTCTATGGTCAGCGATTCAGGTTTGGTGCTGAAAATCTGATGTACTTGCGGATCTAAATTGTAATATTGTACAATAGATGCTCAATGCTCCACCAAGCTTCTCCCGAAGTGCCTGAGACCCGGCAGCCTTAGATTCCAGGACCTCAGAGGGCTTAGGGATTAGGTTTTAGGGCTTCGAGTTCTCGGATCAGGGTTTAGGGATTAAGGATTCTCTCCAAGAAACGGAGAATCATATGAAAAGACAAGATAATGCGATGGTTTATAGGTCTCGTGAGGGAGAAAGGGAACATTTGGAACCAAACCTGTACCCAAAAGTATATAGAATGATGGTCGCTTGTACTCTCTGTATGGACATTTAGGGAGGTATTCGGAGAATAGCGGGAAGATGTGGGTCCCTGTAACCCTGAACCCTCAAGGCACAAAGGTGTTTCCGGGAAATTCCCAAAGGAAAAATTGAAGCAAGGCTCTGCGTATTCTACTCTGTCGCTTAATCTTCTGATCGCACAAACATAAGAATTGCAACTTACTGTAAAACCTACAGCAGTGGCTTTTTGGCTTTTGCCTTTAGAGTTGTCGGGGGGAAGAGGGTGCAGTATCAAGGAGAAGTTGCGCACTAGCAGTCCAAATCCCAAAGCGCAAGGGCTGCGTCTATCTAAGTCCTTGGAACACACGGCCTCCTCCCTAAAGCGGATCATGTGTATTCCCGGATTCTTCGAAGCCCGTCTTCGGCATTGCGGCTAGTTCCTCTGGCTATCACAGCTCCTTGACTTCCTATACCTCCCCAAGCCTGGCGCAGAATTACCACGATTACGAAAACCTCAAGGCTTGACATGAGCTATTGTCTAAACTCCTAGTATCCCCCTTAATATCCCCTATAGTAGTTCCCTATATAATCCCCCATATAAATCCCCCTTTAAGGAGTTTAGACCATGGCTCACATGAGCTCCCGGCTTGCTTCCGGATCGTTGCGCGTATCCGGGCGGGGTTGTAGGCCGTGAGGAGCTTGGCTTTGAGCCTTCGGCTAGGGGTCTAGGAGTCTAGGGCTTCGGGCTTGTAAGGCTTAGGGTCTAGGAGTTAGGGTTTAGGCTTTGTAAGGTTTAGGGTTTAGGAGTTAGGGTTTGTAAGGTTTAGGGTTTAGGGCGCAGGGTTCAGGTTAGCATTTAGGGTTTAGGGCCTATAGGGCTTGGCGTGGCACTTAGGGCTTTTGGGCTTAGGGGCTTCGAGCTTACCTAGACCCTCCAATGTAATACAATTTTGGTAGTCCTAATAAGATTCCTCACCAAAAAACCATACCAAAGCCAACAAGAAGCTACATTGGAGGGTCCAGGTAGGGCCTGGAAGGGGAGCACTGTACAAGCGAAATCGCTGAGGACTTGTTTTTGAAGATTTTCCTCCCTTATCTTCAAACTGCTCACGAAATCCTCCATGACCCTGGGTATGTTTCACGGCTAGTCTGCAGGCTCAAGACACTAGGGTACAAGTAAGCAAGATCCCTAAACCCTAAATTGTCCTAGACCCTGCTTAACCCTGCATTTTGCAAACTGTGGGTGCCCTATCCGTGATGGGCGTCCTCACAAAACTCGCTTCTATGGAATACCATGATTTCTTCACGGATAAATAGGGCACTTGGGAAACCCAGCTTTCACAGCCACTCAGAAGGTCGAGTTTTCCGGATTGAAGGCTATAGCTGTATTCCCTGACCGCGAAAACCGAGAAGTGAAAACCAAAAAAAACAGATAACAGCAAACCCTCCCTATCCGGCTCAGCTCTCTGGACAAGACCTTGAACCCCAAACCCCCAACACTCAGGATCTGAGTCTTAAACCAGAAACCTCACTTGACCCTAAGCCCTGCGCCCTAAGCCCTAAACCCTACGCCCTAAACCCTAAGCCCTATACCCTAAATCCTAAACACTAGACACTAAATTCCAAAACTGAGCCCTACAGCTCTGCCAATCGCGGAGCTCATCCGCCCGAACGCCGCTGTCCAAGGTCAGGTATGTGAGCCGGTGAGGGTCCTGTTAACAGAGCCACAGCTGAAGGTGCAGGGGTTTAGGGTTTAGAGTTTAGGGTTTAAGGGTTAGGGGGTAAGGGTTTCAGATTTATGCATTTAGGATATGGGTTTTACTGGGGTGCTGTTAAGCGAGCCAACTTAAGTTACCATATTATGGGTATCTAGTAAATGATAAGGTTTCTCAGTATCGTAACTTACTTTCAGTACCTTAACAGCAAACCAGTATAGGTTAGATGGACCCCCCACCCAGTAATAGTGACTATAAAAGATAACAAGGATTATACTAGGGTCCTCCTATATTCCTAGTATACCACTATTACAGGGTGGGGGGTCCTCCTAAAGTATAGGGTTTAGGG